TATCCTTAGGACCTGTCAGACTTATAACTAGGAGGTGGATGGTGGGCCTTGGCCACCAGGATCTGCTAAATCAACACATAGATTCCTATATCCTCTTGCCCATACCTGGGACTTGACAGTACAAATTGGGATATGGGGTTCACTCAATAAGATTTCCTAAGGGTCCTTTCACAAAGCTTGTAGAGACATCTCCAAAAAGACTTGCTTTTTCCAATTTTTATAAGTGATCACATACCCTCTGTTCTCAGCTGCATAAAGAGCTCAAAGAACTGGGGAAGGAGAAACAGCAGCTCACTAATCAAGGCTAATATGCAAGGGTTTGTCAATTAAAGCAGAACTTCACTCTCACAATCAACATGGACTATTTCTAATCCTTATGCTGCTAGAATTAGTAAAAAGATAGGAAAGTATATCATATTTACTAATTTAAACTTCTTTTTTTTGCATTCCTTCATTTACTTCTTGGTATCCATGCCTAGGCAAATTATGTCATACATCCAAGGAGTCTTCAGGAGGGGAGAGAGGGCTCTCAGCTCAGCCAATGCCTGAACTAAGGACAGATGGATTCCAGGAAGTAACTGCTACATGAATCATCTGCTCTTAGTCAAGATGGCCATAGCCAGAAATGCTGGGGGATGTGTTTCAAAATTATTTCTTAGCAAAGTAAAGCATGGAGAGATGGATAGATGGGGGAGTTTGTTTTGAATAATATAATTGAATTGTATAGCATTTTTGGTTTGTGGTACTCAGATGCAGTGCAGTTCCACTTTAGGGTCATGGAAAGCTGGGCACTACCATAGGTAAAATGCACCAATACAGACAGAAAATTTTTTTGAAATCATACAGCAAAGAACTACAGGCAGTACCAAATGGATAGCGGAAATTGAGGTCCAGGTGGAAGGGAAAGCAGCTGCAAAAAATTAAAAAATGCATAAACCCAAAATTTCATATTCTTGATATGTGCCTACTTACCATGTACCTATATGAAAAAGTATCCTGCTCTCTTTGTATTGCTTCCTATGTGTGAAAGCCCTGGTGTTTCTGCCAGTCCACACGAGAGAACAGCGTGGTCAGTTCTCAATCTGTGCTGGGAACTCAGTGGGCTTTCATTCATGGATCAGGCTTCTGCTGACACCCCCCCTCCCCCGCACTGATAATAGAGGGAACGTGATCACTTTTAAAAAAGGGGAAGAAAGGGAAAACTTTTTTTTTTTTTTTTTTTTATTGATGTATTACTAAATTCAGGATCTGCATTCACTATATTTGGCCTCCCACAGTACACAGAACATGGAAATTGTGGTGGTTTATGTAAGGATATATATTATTTATAAAGGGCGTGTCCCTTTCCCTTAGATGAAATATTACAGTGCCTCCAGCCGTTAAAATACGGCAAATATTTAGTAAACCAATAATTTGGACACCTTGATAATTTGATCACCACTTATTATTATACCTTGAATTCTTTTAGCCAATATGATTTCGTACCATACACACAAAATTTGCCTTATAATAGATAAATATAAAAATTTATTTATGTACAAAAATTATATATATATTAACACAAAACGCAAAAGACTGGTGATAAATGAATATTGGTACACACAATCAAAAATATATCCTACCAATGTAAAACACAATAATAAGGTTTCTAACTAATTACATCAATATCACACTTTTTAAATGATCTGATTATTTATTAAATTTATTAATAATTAATAATTTCGAGTATCTCAAAGGTTATATTCTCACAAGCCGTGGCCATAGGATTGCAAGAAGTTAGCCCTTGATATTTTATACTCTGATTATTAATATTCAATAAATTATGAAATATGAAAAAAAATTATAATATGGCAACAAACAATTTTTTAACAGTAAAACAGGATCTCTCTACATATATCTAACTACCCAAATTTGTTGTGATACACTAAGGTAATTTTATGATTCCACACAACAGAGAAAATAGGTAATACAAAATCAAATAAACAATCTCACCGCACCCGGCATTCAGACTAGGCAACTCTCCCGTGGATTTAGCTGGCAGTGGAACGCCTTTAGACTGATATTATAGGGCAAGTGATAGATATTCAGTAGGGGAGAATGTAGGAAGTTATAAGGTTAGAGGTTTAGAAATTTAGTTAAAGTTTTAGGAAGTTTGAAAGGATGGAAGAGTAGTTATTCAGCAGAGATCTTCTTCAGATGTCAGGGTCTTCTTTTGATGAGGTTTTTCTTGATGAGGTTTTTCTTGATGAGGTTTTTTTTCTTAAAGGTACAAGGGCTTTTATACCAACCAATCCATTGTTCTAAAATACCTTCCCACCAGGCTTCTTGATTGGCTAGTTGAGAAATGTGTGTACATAAGCTATTTCTCACCTGCCCGCCAGGTGGCGGTCATGTATCATAGAACAATTTGAGTATTTGAGATGACTCACCTTGGGTGGAATCTTAAGGTAATTTCAGGAATTAAATATACGTTTTTTTCCAGATATAGAAGTGATCATACCTATAATATTCTAAATAGGGACCATGGAATATAGGTGTATATTCAGTTATTCCTTCTTGAAATACCATCCTGTTTGTTTCCTGATAAGACATGTAACTAATGCTAGTTTATAATACATCTTACTTTCCATCATCTCAATACTCAAGTTAGTGATATATAGTTCCCATTGCTGAATATTTAGTGGTGTGTAAAATCTATAACATCTTATTTATAATATGTTTTTGTAATATATCTTTGTAATTATATACAGTCAATTCTTAGACTTAAATGTCCTGAATTTCACTTCTTTGTTTTAGAACCAACATTTTCTATGTGTAGGAAAAAAAAACTCTCTGTTTGCCTGGCTCTTGTATTGGAATCATGGTAAACAACTGTGTTAATGCTTTCACCCTTGGTGGACAATAGTATATTGTGATAGTTTGAGAGTTCTGTTGGTTTATCACACTCTGCAAGTTTTGGGTAAAGCTTTCAACCAGTTGAGTTCCCGTCTCATTATTGTTAAAATGTTTGAAAGTCAAAGTCCTATCTGGCTATCTGTTTGACTTTCTGTATATGCATTCTTCTCAACCTCAATATACAAATAGTCCTTGTTGACAGTCCAAACAGTCTTATTGTCTTGGAAAAGTCTCACTTCCCCCATTCTATCCATTTCTTAACTAGAATCCTTGAGGGTTCAACCAAGACAAAATTAACTCTTAGCATCCGGCTATACTGAGCTGTTTGTCATATAATATTATGTCTTGATAAAGTCATATTTTTGAGACATGATTCAAAAGGTCCACAACAAATCGCAATTATTTTAGTAAATATAAACTGCTAAATACCTTTTCTCATTAGCAGTATACGACAGTCTTGTGACTTCTATCAGTGTCCAGCTGAGCACTGGTTAGCCCCTTGGTGCCAACCTAACACAAATATGTGGCCTCACAGAACTTGGCTTTTTTTCCGTGGGGCCGCATATTTGAGGTCCTTGATCGGGGTGTCTAATGATTGGGACCCCGGACTCCCGATTCTGGGTCACATGATCGCTGTGATAGCCTCTGATTGGCTATCACAGAGATCAGTCACTATGAAGTCTCCCCCCTTGTTTTTTTTTCTCTCTGAATGGAGAAGAGAGATACATTGTATCTCTCTCTCCTTGCAGAGAGAAAAAAAAAACTGTTTATAAAAAAATAAATATTAAAAAATAAAATAAAAAATAAAAAAAATACCTAGATCAAGGTTTGATCTAGTTCAGTGCCAGGGTTAGTGTTTGAGTAAACAGGGTCAAAGGTCAGGATTTTTAATTTTTTTTTAATTGTTATCAGTGTCAGTTAGTGTCAGTGTGGTTCAATTAAAAAAACAAAAAACAAAATGCACACTGTTGTTTCTGGGCTGTACTACAGGTACAAACAACAAATAACATACACGTATATGGTATTCACTGCGATCGTCAAGAGCTGGAGAATTTATTTTGGGTTGTTCTTGTTGGTAAATTATGATAGTAACAAGGAACACAGAGCTAAATTTAACCACTTGAGCCCCAGAGGATTTACCCCCCTTAATGACCAGGCCTTTTTTTGCTGTTTGGCGCTGCACTAATTCAAATGATAATATTGCGGTCATGCAATGCTGTACCCAAACGACATTTACGTCCTTTTTTTCACACAAATAGAGCTTTCTTTTGGTGGTATTTTATCACCTGTGCGCTTTTTATTTTTTGCGCTATAAACAAAAAAAACACGAAACTTTTGAAAAAAAACAAAATTTTCTACTTTCAGCTATAAAAAATATATCGTAAACTCAAAGTTAGTCATAAATTTAAGCCAAAATGTATTCTGCTACATGTTTTTGGTAAAAAAAATCCCAATAAGTGTATATTGATTGCTTTGTGTGAAAGTTATAGCATCTACAAACTATGGTATAGATACTGTAATTTATGCCTTTTTTTGCTATACAGCGCTACACTAATTCAAGTGATAATTGCGTGGTCATGCAATGCTGTACCCAAACAAAATTTACGTCCTTTTTTTCACTAAAATAGAGCTTTCTTTTGGTGGTATTTGATCACCTGTGCGCTTTTTTTTTTTTTTGCGCTATAAACAAAAAAAAACACGAAAATTTTGAAAAAAATCTATATTTTCTACTTTCAGCTATAAAAAATATATCGTAAACTCAAAGTTAGTCATAAATTTAAGCCAAAATGTATTCTGCTACATGTTTTTGGTAAAAAAAATCCCAATAAGTGTATATTGATTGCTTTGTGTGAAAGTTATAGGTCTACAAACTATGGTATAGATCAGTGGTTCTCAACCTTTCTAATGCCGCGACCCCTTAATACAGTTCCTCATGTTGTGGTGACCCCCAACCATAAAATTATTTTCGTTGCTACTTCATAACTGTAATTTTGCAGTAGGAGGAATAGTGCCATGTCATTGGTGTCAGTGGGAGGAATAGTGCCCCGTCATTGGTATCAGTGGGAGGAATAGTGCCCCGTCATTGGTGTCAGTGGGAGAAATAGTGCCCCTTCATTGGTGTCAGTGGGAGGAATAGTGCCCCGTCATTGGTGTCAGTGGGAGGAATAGTGCCTCATCATTGGTATCAGTGGGAGGAATAGTGCCTCATCATTGGTATCAGTGGGAGGAATAGTGCCTCATCATCGGTATCAGTGGGGAGGAATAGTGCCCCATCATAGGTGTCAGTGGGAGGAGGAATAGTGCCCCATCATAGGTGTCAGTGGGGGGGGAATAGTGCCCCATCATTGGTGTCAGTGGGGGGAGGAATAGTGCCCCATCCTTGGTGTCAGTGGGGGGAGGAATAGTGCCCCATCATTGGTGTCAGTGGGGGGGAGGAATAGTGCCCCATCATTGGTGTCAGTGGGGGGAGGAATAGTGCCCCATCATTGGTGTCAGTGGGGGGAGGAATAGTGCCCCATCCTTGGTGTCAGTGGGGGGAGGAATAGTGCCCCATCCTTGGTGTCAGTGGGGGGAGGAATAGTGCCCCATCCTTGGTGTCAGTGGGGGGAGGAATAGTGCCCCATCCTTGGTGTCAGTGGGGGGAGGAATTGTGCTCCATCCTTGGTGTCAGTGGGGGGGGAGGAATTGTGCCCCATCCTTGGTGTCAGTGGGGGGAGGAATTGTGCTCCATCCTTGGTGTCAGTGGGGGGAGGAGTTGTGCCCCATCGTTGGTGTCAGTGGGGGGAGGAATTGTGCCCCATCGTTGGTGTCAGTGGGGGGAGGAGGAATTGTGCCCCATCGTTGGTGTCAGTGGGGGGAGGAATCGTGCCCCATCCTTGGTGTCAGTGGGGGAGGAAATAGTGCCCCATCGTTGGTGTCATTTGGGGGAGGAATCGTGCCTCATTGTTGGTGTCAGTGGGGGGAGGAATAGTGCCCCATCATTGGTGTCAGTGGGAGGAATAGTGTCCCATCATTGGTGTCTGTGGGAGGAATAGTGCCCCATCATTGGTGTCAGTGGGAGGAATAGTGCCCCATCATTGGTATTAGTGACACCAATGATGGGGCACTATTCCCACTGACACCAGTGATACTTACCTTGCAGACCCCTGCTCCAGCCTGGGCTCGCTCGCTCCCTCCCTCTCCCCATGGTACAGACACTTACCTGTCAGCTGTCTTCCTTCTCCGGCAGCTCTCCTCCTCTTCACTCGCTCGATCTTCGCGGTGCCGCTCGGCCCCTCCTCTCCAAGCTCCACCTCCTTGCCGGTGATTGGCCGCCTGTGTGCCTGAGCTACAGTGCCGGCGGCCAATCACAGGCGAGGATTGATCTCGAGGTGTGTCCAGATGACAGGGGCGGCATGTCATCCCGCCCACACCTGGAGACGGCGGCGGCGGCGGCGAGGAGCGGTGTCTCGGTTCCTAAGACCATCGGAAATATGTGTTTTCCGATGGTCTTAGGCGACCCCTGTGGAAGCGTCGTTCGACCCCCAAAAGGGTCGCGACCCCCAGGTTGAGAACCGCTGGTATAGATACTGTAATTTATGCATTTTTTTGCTATACAGCGCTGCACTAACTCAAATGATAATTGCGCGGTCATGCAATGCTGCACCCAAACAAAATTTACGTCCTTTTTTTCACACAAATAGAGCTTTCTTTTGGTGGTTTTGAGCACCTGTGCGCTTTTTTTTTTTTGCGCTATAAAAAAAAAAAAATACGAAAATTTTGAAAAACCCAATATTTTCTACTTTAAGCTATAAAAAATATATCATAAACTCAAAGTTAGTCATAAATTTAAGCCAAAATGTATTCTGCTACATGTTTTTGGTAAAAAAAAATCCCGTGCATTAGCGGGCAAACTGGCGCTATCTAGGAGGGGCGCTAACACTATCGGAAGTCACCAGTGACACTAATACAGTGATCAGTAAAAATCTGTTCACTGTAATCAATGACACTGGTGACAGGGCAGTGAAGGGGTTAACTGCGGGGGGGGGGGCGATCAAGGGGTTAAATGGGATTTCTGGTGCACTAGCGGGCAAACTGGCGCTATCTGGGAGGGGCGCTAACACTATCGGAAGTCGCCAGCGACACTGATACAGTGATCAGTAAAAATCTGTTCACTGATCAATGACACTGGTGACAGGGCAGCGAAGGGGTCAACTCGGGGGGGGGGGGGGCGATCAAGGGGTTAGACGGGATTATTGGTGTATTAGCGGGCAATCTGGCGCTATCTGGGAGGGGCGCTAACACTATCGGAAGTCGCCAGCAACACTGATACAGTGATCGGTAAAAATTGGTTCACTGATCAGTGACACTGGTGACAGGGCAGTGAAGGGGTTAACTGGGGGGGGGGATTAAGGGGTTAAATGGGATTACTGGTGTACTAGCGGGCAATCTGGCGCTATCTGGGAGGGGCGCTAACACTATCGGAAGTCGCCAGCGACACTGATACAGTGATTAGTAAACATTGGTTCACTGATCAGTGACACTGGTGACAGGGCAGTGAAGGGGTTAACTGGGGGGGGGGGCGATCAAGGGGTTAAACAGGATTACTGGTGTACTGGCGGGCAATCTGGCGCTATCTGGGAGGGGCGCTAACACTATCGGAAGTCGCTAGCGACACTGATACAGTGATCAGTAAAAATTGGTTCACTGATCAGTGACACTGGTGACAGGGCAGTGAAGGGGTTAACTGGGGGGGGGGAAGGGGGCGATCAAGGGGTTAAATGGGATTACTGGTGTACTGGCGGGCAAACTGGCGCTATCTGGGAGGGGCGCTAACACTATCGGAAGTCGCTAGCGACACTGATACAGTGATCAGTAAAAATTGGTTCACTGATCAGTGACACTGGTGACAGGGCAGTGAAGGGGTTAACTGCTGGGGGGGGGGGGGGGATCAAGGGGTTTTTAAATGGGATTACTGGTGTACTGGCGGGCAATCTGACGCTATCTGGGAGGGGCGCTAACACTATCGGAAGTCACCAGTGACACTGATACAGTGATCAGTAAAAATTGGTTCACTGATCAGTGACACTCCCGTGCATTAGCGGGCAAACTGGCGCTATCTAGGAGGGGCGCTAACTCTATCGGAAGTCGCCAGCGACACTGATCAATAAAAAATGGTGACAGGGCAGTGAAGGGGTTAACTGGGAGGGGGGGGGGGCGATCAGGGGGTTAAATGTGTCCTAGTGTGTTCTAACTGTAGTGTAGTGCTTGTGCACTCACTTTTTGGATGTCTTCTTCTCTGTCTGGAACGGAATGTGTCCAGGCAGAGAAGAATGACATCATATCCTGCCCTGTGTAAATATCAACACAGGACAGGATAGGACAGGGACCGATCATGTGATTTCAGCCAGAAATCACTGGCTGAAATCTAATGATCGATCCCTCCTGGATCGAAATCGTATCACCCGTGGGTCGGCGGGGAGCACGCGCGCCCCCTACCTGCGAATGTGACGGGAGCGCGGAGCACGTTTTTTAAAACGTGCTTTTGCGCTCCACTGCCGCCCTGCACACGTATATACACAGTGGCAGGGCGGCAAGCGGTTAAAAAAAATAGATATATTTTTACTATTTTGGGCCAGATTTCCATTGATAAAAATCAGGGGATATTCATTACACTTCACCACCAAATGAAAGCCCTATTTGTCCCCAAAAAAACAAGGTATAATTCACCGGGATGTACAAAGTAGTTGTGGTGATATGTACAGTTTTACTAACACATGTCAAAGTTGTAAAATTTTACTTAGGCTTTAAGATTTGTTTTACCCTTAGGTGTGCAGGGGGTTAAAGCTTGTAGGAGGAAGTTTTCA